AGTTTCAAAGCTAAACTCACAAATTCTCTTAAAAAGATACCCCTTCTTTTAAACATTCATAAGCTCTAATCTTACAAATGATTTTTGCAAACTAAAATACCTCTTAAAGGTTTAATGTTTGCTAATTTAGTATAATACACTACTAGAAAATTGTTAAACAGCAAAAAATTTTTATCAATAATTATCGATGGATTAATGACGATTTATGCACAGACTATCAAAAAAATTACTATAGATTTACCAATAGAATACTGAGGGAATTTATTGACGAAAAAAATATACGTTGGTATTTTGTACGAGATGTTGTCTAAGAAATTAGCAAATTGGTGCTAGATTGACCAATGAAAAAATCAGTCAGTAATCCATAGGTAAAGTCTTTACTGACGGATTTTTTTCATCAATAAAAAATTTTCTAAAAAAGCTAATTCGGTATAAAAAGATATTGAATGAAAAAAATTTTGGATTAACGACGAGTTTCGTTGATGAAAGTCATAAAAAATTTGAATTATCAACAAATTTTATTGGTAATCCATTGTTAAAAGTTATAAAAATTTGAATTATCGATGAAAATTTCATTGATAATCCGTTGCTAAAAACATTTAAAAATAAAATCATCTTTTTTTTCTTCATCCCTTGATCGGCAAAAATTCCTAACCCCTCTTTTAATTGCTCATCTCTCCTCTCAATCTCCCATCTTTTTGTCGTTGTATGTGAAGTCATGTCACTCATGAAACCACTGTCGATCATTCTTTCATCACTGGTTACTTATCCTCTACTATCCCTTACTGCACTTTTTTCTCTCACACCTTGCCTTGCTTTTTTCGTGGTTCCTACCATCCTTGCTTCATTGTATAGATACTAACTTGAAAAATGTAAATATGCATTAAAATTTTGTGTTATTAGATTAAATCTTTGTTTAAAATTTATTGTTTGGGTAGAAATAGTTATTTAATTTTTTTTATTTGAACTAGAAATAAGTATTTATATGCTTGTATTGAAGAATTTGTATACTTGTGTTAGAAAATAAATTTTCAATATCTAACTTTAAACAATATATTATTGCATAAGTATTTGTGTTGGAGAATTTATGTTGAAATATTGTGTTCTTGGATTGAATGTGTTGAAATTTTGTTCTTCACCTTGAAATAGGTATTTCTTTTTTTGTTTATTTGAACTAAAAATAGGCATTTATGTGCTTGTGTTAGAGAATTGTGTACTTGTGGTGGAAAGTAAAATCTCAATCTCTAACTTTAAACAATATATTATGGCATATGTACTTGTGTTGGAGAATTTATATTGAAAATTCTTGTTGCTTACTTTCTTTGGAGTAAAATGGGCAATTTCTTTTTTGTTTATTTGAACTTGAAATAGGCATTTCTTTGTTATTGCAATAAAAGCATAATTATGCAAATTAAAATCTCAAAACATTTTCTTAAACTTTAAACAAAGTATTATTACATATGTATTCGTGTTGGAGAAATTATTAAGTAAAATTTTAAATTGATAAGGTTTTTATAGCTATATAAAAAAAACTATTAATTCAAACAATGTGACTTTTGAGCCTTTGTTCATGTACACACCTATAAAATATAGGTGCATGCATGTGTTAAATACCAATAATTGCTTTTTAGGACTTTAATTATTTATATTTTAGTTTAATATACTAAGAGTTACATTTTTGGGACCTTTAGGATGATACAATTAAGATTGAAAAAATGGACGAAGATCATACTTGAATGTATTCTCATTTAGATGTAAAGAGATACATGAGCCAAAACTTCGATGATGGTATAGGGAAATTTATTGAAAATGCTTATTCTCAACCATACTTTGTAAGTAATGGAAAGAATAAGTGTCTTTGTACTCAATATGAAAATAGATGATTTTTAAAAGCAAATGTTATGCGTGAGCTCTTTTATTATAAAGGATTTACTCTTTATTATATGAGTTGGGTCTCACATGAGGAGTTGGAAGTAGGACAACCATTCATAAGGAGGGATACCTTTGAACTGATTAGTGAAGTAAGAATAGAAAATTCATATACTTGAATGGTTATAGATGTTGTTTATCCTAATTTTAAGGTGGATGCTTCTCCTGCTAGTGAGGTAAAAGTTGATGAGGAATATCCCAATGCAAATGTGACAAGGTTGTATTCTTTGTTGAATGATGCAGATGAACCGTTGTGGTCAGACTAAATGAAGCACATAATCCTTTTTTCTATGTAGCAACTTTTAAATTATAAATCAAAATTTAACATGAATCAATCATGTTTTAATCATTTGATAAGCATAGTGAGGGATTTGTTACTGGTAGATGATAAATTACCAAAACAATTCTATAAAATGAAAAAAAAAAAAAGATGATGAAACTTAGACTTGGTTATAAGAAAGTTCATATATATAAAAACAATTATATGTTGTTTTATAAGAAAACAACAAATTTGGGTCATCATTGATATTTAAGGAATAAGTGTAGTAGTTAGGCGAAAAATATATTCCTTATAAAATCTTATGTTATATGCCATTGATATCGAGACTTTAAAGATTTTATATGTCAACTGAAACTACTGAATATATGAAATTTTAAAAGGCAAATAGTATGAAAATGCACTTTGACAAACAAATGAACGAGGACAAAAAAAAATCTTTCATTAATCTTAAAAAAAAGAAAATCTTTTTCAAAGTAATAAAAATTAAGGTGAATTTACAATCAAAACCCAAAACAAAAAGTTATTAAAAAATGAAAAAAAAATTAAAAAAAACTCCCAAAAAATGAAGTCTTAGCAATGAAAATTTTTATCCATAATACTTTATTTTCCATTGGTTACAATATTATTTACAAAAAATTTTCATTGATATTAACCTAATCAGTAATATAACTTCTTCAGTATTGAAAATTTTAATTAGTAAATTACGATAAAAATTTAATTGATAAAAATATTTTTACTTCTAGGAGCCTATGAAAAGATGAGAAAGAAATAAGAAAGTTGTTCGAAGCCTTTGAAAGTCCAAACATTAGAAGGCACAAGAACAAATGCGATAGATATGAGAAAGGGCCGAGAATGATAGCGATCAAGTTAGGGAAAGAGATTGTGAGGGAGGAAAAATAAGAAAGAGAAAGAAGGTTAGAAATTTTGTTTTTTCAAATTTTTAGGTTGAAATTTAATTTTAATTAATTACCATGTACTATTGATAGAATGTTTTCATCAGTAATCCATCCTTAATCTGGTTCTCAATAGATTACCACGAAATATTTTGTCATTAATCTACATGTCAGCTTTTCTTGTTTCCTTCAAATATTTACCTTTAAAATACTTACAAATAAAATTTTGTCGATAATAGGTTTATAATTATTGGATTAATTTGTTTATTTTATTTTGTCAATATCGGTATAAAACAAATTTTTAATAGTAAAAAAACTAAGCTCATGAATTGATGGCCAAATATATTGAAGAAGGAAACTTGGGTCCATATACAACAAAAAAAAAAAAACCATTTTCAATTTTTTAAAGGGAATAATCAAAATAACTCAGATAAATGAACTATGCTACCATATATAACAAAAAAAAATCACTTTCAATTTTTTAAAGGGACGAATCAAAATAATTCAGATAAATGAACTATGCTACCACGAAAAATTCCTTATTAATGATCATTTAAAACATAACAATCCAATACACACTTGATTATGACACATTGAAATGAAAGGACATTAAGAAATAACTGAAGAAAAAAAAAGATCAATACGCCATTTTTATTTGCCACAAAATGCTCATCATCAATGTGACTAGGGGTATAATTAATCGAGTTCAATCTAATACAATATTAAGCTTGACCTCGAGCTCGACTTATAATTCGAGACTCAAAATTTGACTCGAAATCGATTAAGTTTTTTTCTTAGCTCGAACTCGACTCGAAATAGAAATTGAATTACTCAAACTCGTTCGATTATGTTCAATTAACGTTTAAAAATAGGCTCAATTCTTATATTCGATAAAAACTCGATTATTTGTATTTGAGCTCGAATTCGAGTTCGAGATATTTTATTAATTAAATTAATTAAATATATTAAAATGTAAAAGCTTAATTAGACTTGCGAGCAACTTGAGTCAAATATAAGAATATGAAAACTTGATTAGGATCGCGAGCAATGCGAGTGAAAAATAAGAATGCTTGAATTCGTCTCGATCAATAAGTCAAGTTATTTGCACTCGACTTGATAATAATCGAGCTGAATCCGTATTTTATTCGAATTAAATCTAAATAATTTGCGTGGATTAATATATCCTTTACACATCTAAATGTGACAACACAAGCTAATGATATTAAAATGCTACGAACAGAAAAGGCATGGAAATTCCTATCTTGTATCATCTTCTCCATCTAAACCCATTTCCAAACATTAAATCAGTCAAATGCTAGGATCGGGCCAGGGATTTTTGGAGAAGAAGCAGATTTGGGGAAAATTAATTCAAAAAAGTAAAGAGGGGAAGAGAAATAAAAAAGAGTTTTACGTGGAGGTGAGAACACCGGAGGACGATGGAGGACAACAGTTCATGGTGGCAATGACAGTCAGATTCTAGGTTAAGGGTTGTCGGATTTTGGGATTTAAAAGTGTAAAGGAGACAGGCAATAATTAAAGAGGAAGGATATAGAAAGAAAAATACCTTTTTGGGGAGCAATAGTTAGCCAACCCTACCTCTTAACCACATGAACAATAAAAAATTCTACATGATTCGTTGTCATGTTAACATTAGCATCTACAAAGCAATATGAGCATACTCAATGACACACAATGTCACCATGATCAATTATCGTACTAGCGATCGAAGATACCAGTGCAAATTTGATATTGTTAATTGTTAAATTAACCTTAACAAATCTTTAAAATATATGGATGTGATTTATATAAATTATTCTGTAGAAATTAAATCTAAAATTTTAATTAAGTGTAGAAATTAATTACATAATTTGAAGAATAAATAAAAAGAAAAACTTTTATATTAATGAAGTGAAGATGATTCACTTAAGGTGATGATTCGCATCAAATATAAACTAATACAATCAATCCAACTTCTCAGCAAGTTGTTTAAACATCTTTTAGAAACAAAGAAGAGAAATTCCCCACCTCATGCTTTCTCAAAGCCAAACCAATCTCAATTCCCTTTCTCCCATCTCTACTCTCAGCCATGGAAATAGCTTCATTCTCATCAATGGAAACAACAACCACCTTCAAGGGCTTCCCCCAACCAAAATCTGAACCATAAACATCAAATCGAGGTGACCCTGCAACACTAATAATCTGCGCTTGTTTTGATAACTTACTTAAATTCAAAACAGTTGACAACTTCTCTTCTATTCCTTCAAGAACCCCTCTCTCCAGCAATTCCTTAACCATGCCACTTACCTTTTGAACAGCTAAAACAAACCCGTTTTCACCAAAGAAATCTCTTGCCTTCAGTATATTTCCTGTAATTGTATTACAATTTCCGAAATAATTTTCTGGAACAGGAGGGTTTAATCGTGGCCTGCAATCGATTGTGAATCCTAAACAAACATTTCTACCACCATCTTCTCCTCTAGCTTTCACTATGCAAGTTGTTATATAAGCAAGTGTAAGCACAAAAGTCGATAGATGAAGTTCTTTCCCACTATCTGATAATTTAGACAAAACCCTTTCTCTTAATTTCTTGAAATCTTCTCGATTGATCTCAACCGTGACTCGAACTAGATTTGGAGCTTCTCGTTTGTTTGGCAAAATCTTCAAGCTTTTCTTATTAGTATCAGAATCTGACCCGATGCTAGCAAGCCATTGCTTCAAATATAACATGTCAAGTCCATCAGGATCTTTTATAACACTCCGATCAAAAAATGGGGTTAGCTCTGGAGGCAAGGGTAAGTTTTCTGTATTACCTTGCTTGCATATATAGGCCCAAGACTTGATGAACGAGGTTGTGGTTTTACCATCAAGAACTGCATGGTGAGCTGTGATTCCAATGCAAAACCCCATATTTGGAAAAAGGGTTATCTGCAAAGATATAGTTGATGCTGAATCATCTGATGTTACGAGCTTAGGTGTCAAAGGGTGTAACTCAACAGCTTCATAGATTCCATTGCCAGACAGAAGGTTAAAGTCTACGTCGGACTCAGCAACTGTGAGTGGCACTCCATCACTTGGAGTGTACAGAATGATGGGATTAGGGGCATTTGATGGCCACTTGAGGTTGCCGGCGAGAGGGAGGTAATGCAGAAGAGTGAGAGCAAAAGATTGCTTGAGTTTGGGAAGGATAACAGAGTTGAAACAAGCAGGGGTTAACCCGTTGAGTTGGTAAAAATAAAGCCGCTCAACAGGAGGATGCTTCAACCGGAAAATATCATAAAAAGTGAGTGGAAGAGAGAATTCAACAGCGGATTCAGGCGAGTTAGAGGATGGAGCAACTTGGTTGACCTCAAGAATTTTCATTCTGGTAGGCAACGCAATGGCGGCGCACCTATGAAACAGCTCTTTTCTTGACCTTTTTCTTTTGTTTATCGGCTCTTCACGCCTATAACTATATCTATAATCTATACCAATACACTAATAGTAACATCACATGAAATGTCCATTTTACCCTTATAATATTTTCCCAATTACTTGACGCTAATGGAAAAAGAATGTAACGCCTCCCCTTTATTAAACAACAAAAAAACCTTTTCTTTAAATGATAAACCGTTATAATGCCCCTCGTTTCTTAAATAATAATAATTATATCTTTTTAAAAAATGTCAAATCACTATAATGCGTCCTGTATGGCTATATCCCAATGATAAAAAAACTCTTCCTATTAATAACGAATTATGATAATACCTGTCGATCAAAAATCACAGTTATGAAATTATTATATATCTCTCTTATTATAATTATAAAAATATGTTTATTATCAAAATTATTAAAATATTCTCTTATTATATTTACAAAATGTCTTCCTATCAAAATTGGTCAAAATAACTAAGATTAATAGCACCAATAATCCTCAAACTTTGACACAAATTTTATTTTGTCTCTTAATTTTTAAAAAATTTTAATGAGATCCCTAATTAGTTAAAGTTGTCTCATTTTTATCCTTCTTTCTATTTATTCATCTAAATCGATGAAAATATCAATTGATATTATATGATAATGTCGGTTAATATCTCAAATAGTAGACAAGAATCTAAAACAGAATTCTCTTAAAATTTTGATATCAAAGTCGAAATTATCTCAAAATTTTATATATTTTATATATATTTTATAAACTACTAAATTAAAATTTTTTTATATGTTTATTATAATATAATTTATTACTTATACTTTTCCTTTTAATAAAAATAGTTTTTTAAAAATTAAAAATAAGTTAAAAATTCAAATTCAATATGATTTTAAAAACAAAAAATTATTTTCTATTAAAAATATTATTTTACTCATAAATCATAATAAAAGTATTATTTTTTATCCATAAAATATATATTTTAAAATATTAAATATCTTTTATTTTCCTTTTTTCAAATATATTTTATAAAAATAAATGAAGGAAAAGATAAAAAAATAATTCAAGAAAAAATTGATTTGTATATATTTCAAATATATTTTATAAAAGTTTTATTTTAATTCTTATTATAATTGATTTTATCAATAAAATAATATTTTTAATAGAAAATGGATTTTTAAAAAATTAAAATTAAGTTGAAAATTTTAAAATAATCTTGTTAAAATTGCAATGCATTTAAAAAATTAAGTAAAAAATTTTTAAGTCGTTTAAGAAATTAAAAAAAAAAACACTCTATATCATTTTAAAATATTATGTAAAAATTTTAAGATCAATTTCAAAAATATAAAAACTTTATATTCATATAAAATAAAAAATATTATTTAAAACATTTTTACTTTTTCTTTTTTATAAAACTTATTTTATAAAATATATTTAAAAAGAAAAATGAAAGATATTTAATATTTTAAAAATTAAAATTTTTGGATAGAAAATAATATGTTTTATTATGACTTATGAGCAAAATAATATTTTTAATAATATTTTTATTGTTTTTAAAATGTATTGAATTTTTTAAAAAGTAATTTAAAAATGTTAACTTAATTTTAAGTTTTGAATATCTATTTTCTATTTAAAACAAAAATATATATAATAACTTATATTATAATAAAAAATGCTAATATAATTTTAAATTTAATATTTTTATAAATCACGTATAGAATATATAAAATTTTAAAATAATTTTATTTTTTGTCCCTAAACATTCAAAAATTTTATTTTGATCCCTTATCTACTACGTAAATTGCTAATTGACATCATCACATAATGTTAACTAGTATTTTCCATCCATTTAGATGATTTTATAAACAGAAAGACCAAAATATGGTAACTTTGGGTAATTAGGGATCTAATTAAAATTTTTTTAAGATAAGAGATCAAAATAAAATTTTGGTTAAAGTTTAGGAACTATATGTGCTATTAACTTAAATAACTATAATGCACCTTATAATTGTTACAAAAATATTTTTATGATTACTTCATAAGAAGTTACGTGTAATATTTTATTTTAAAATTAGTATAATATCCATTTTAATTTACATATTAAATTTTAACATGAGACTATAAATTAATTATCTATTAAATTATTAAAATACATTTCTCATCATTGTTCATAGAAATTTGACGTGTGAAATTTTATTTGAAAATTGCTATAATATTATTTTTAAATTACATATACTAAATTTTAATATAATATAAAATTAATTACATATTAAATTACTAATCTCATTGAAATTATCAAAATACCCTTATAATTCTTTGATTAAGATTTGACATATGTCCTAAATAATTGTAATAGTCTTTTATCATAATTACAAAAAATCTCTCCTACCATAAATTAATTGAAATGATAGTGATGCCTTTCTTACCTTAATTTCAAAAAATTACTATGACACTTTTATTATCATAACTATGGAATTACCTTTTTTTTTTTTACTTTTTAAAATTATTATAATACTCCTATTATAATTGCAAAAATATCTTTTTTTATCATAATTGATTAAAATTATTAAAATGTCCCACATCGTAATGATAAAAATACTCTTATGATTGTTTTATAAAAAATTGGCATATGACATTCTTTTTTAAAATTATTATAATATTTTATTAAATTAAATATTAAAATAATTATAAATATATTTAAAATAATAAAAAATTAAAAATAATAATAATAATAAATTTTAACAGAAAAATAATTTATCCCAACATAACGATTAATTATTTCTAGTAATAATGTATAAGAGACGACAATATCAAGAAACAAGAATATAAGGGCAAAAAATATGATCGTTGAATCATTAGATCATTGATTCTGACTCTCGCTTTATTCACAGTTCTCACTTATTATTCGACTGACATTGCTGGCCTCACCTTGAAACCAATATAAAATGGCTCACCCAAATTAATTCGAATCATGAAATAATATTTTCATGCGTTTTATAAGTTTTTCTATTCTTAATACACTCAAAAAAATATGAATCAATCTTTTAATTTCGTTAATTTTAACAATGCACGAAATAATATTTATGTATAATGTTTTTGGTAAGAAAATATCTGTGATCTGCCATGCTTGCCAGCAACCCCTCCCTTGTATCTTTTCATTCACGTGCAAGTATCCCTCTGATTGATTTCTCACTCAGCGTCGGTAACAAATGCCAAGATTCCATGTCCACAGAACCCCGTGAATTTTCAAAGCTCCCCAGACGCTATCGGTTGCTACAGTAATCTGCCCATCAATATGCCGAGACCCATCAACAACGATACAATTTACGGAAAAACAATGATCGAAACATCATTTTCACGCATCCATTCCAATTTCTCTTCTCCTTCTCTTGGTTTCCATGAGAAAGAGCAATCAGAGGTTTTTATTATTGACCAATTTGGCCAATTCATGAACTGACTGAGAGACCCCAACCTTATCTGGTTCCAAATTGGCTCATTTAATCATTATTTTAAAATTTTCATATGTAAATATTAAAATACTTTAATCTGATAAATTAAATTGTATATTTATTTGAACAATCATGATTGATAACCAAATATGATGGTAATGTTTTTTCACCATCTAGTTTTTTCCTTCGCTCTTTTCTTACTTTCATAGATACTGTGTGTTAGAAATTAAAATAAGACTTTAGTCATATATTTATATTGAAACTCTATAAACTTTCCACACAATGCTTATTAGATCAAAAACCTACATAATAATCAAATCATACTGAGCAAATAAGATATACAAAACTTATATATTAATGATCACTATTGAATTATTTAAGCTCTTATATATGTAGTATATTAAGATTAAATTTTCCAATATGTTTTATTAAACTTTAAAATCATTAACTAATTGTAATTCACATTATGAAAATATAAACATTCTCCCATTGAGATAATATTAATTGGGTATTTAATTCTAATAAATCAATTCTTTAATTTTAAGAAAACACAATTTGAAAATCTGACTTGAGACTAAATAACTTTATTTTATTGTGATCATAGTTTAAAAAAAAATTTTGTTGTAACATTAAACTCTTCGTTTATAATCTCCCAAGCTTCCATAGCTTGAACCATGGATAAAAACATTCATCCTTATCCTCCAATGAATATACTTTGAACTATCTAGTATAGGAGGCTTCAAGATGCAAAAGCTCTAAAACTAATTGTTAGTTAAGTATATATAAATCAATTCAAGAGAGAGTGAATTGGATTGACTTCAAGTTTTTTCTAAAATTAAATTTCAATAAATGTTTGTGTAAAAATAATAATATATGAAATATATATAAATGAAATGTAAGTACAATTGAACTTGAAATTAAATAGAATATAAGGGATAGAGAATTTAACTACAATAAGTTATAGAGGTTTATGTTGGTATTTAACCTCCAAATCAAATCATATTTTGGCCAAGACAGTCATATTTATAGTACTTCGATATTCTATATGTTATAAAGGTCTTGTTTATTTTCATGTATTTCACTGTTGATACTTACATAATAAAGTCCTCGAAATATAAATAAAACTTTGCAAGAAAATTAAAATGAGATCGTAATTATGAGATTATCATTGCATAAAAGCTATATGTTCCAAAATAATTCTTAGTCGGTGTTTTATCAATAAGAAGACATGGACAAAAGCTATTGAGACTAGCACATAGTTATGCTCTTACTTATGAAGCAAGCAACTGATCTCATAGATTGATGTTTCGGTTAAATTTAAGCTAACATGTTGGTGCTTATTACAAGAACAAGTTCACTGAACATAACTCCATATGGCTAATACTATATGACAATTCATATAGTGTCTATAGCTACATTCTCATATGATGGTTGTATAAGTGATCTTTTGACTTAAGATTACTTATGATTTTATATGATGAATGTTATATTTTGATTTTACTTATGGTTTTAACCTAGAATGCTTCAGTTGAGTTTTGTTGTGTATAA